AGCGATCCGAAGCGACATCCACACAGCTGCGAACTCCCGCACCATGTTGTGAGCCCGCCAGAAGGACATACCGCATCATTCTTGGCCAGCTTGGTGAGCACAGGTCACAAAGCCCCAGCCAGGAGATGATGTGTCTGTGAACATATCGAGTGAGGGCTCGGGAAAAGCCAAGGCACTGTACCCCGAAAAACCCTTAGAGGAAGCTGGCAACACAGCAACCGATGCAAAGCCTCAGGAGGCAGAACTGAGTGGTCGCAAGAGAGGCGGAAGAGACGCCCTCGAAGGAACCAGAAGAGCCGACGAAGCCAAACCCGACCTGGTGGGTAGACTATCATGGCAAAGTTCAGGCTTCCCCGCACAAACCCTCGAGCAACCGCCGTGTGACCCGAGAGCCCCTCAGGAACAGACAAAGGCTGGAACGCAGACGGAGCAGATCCGCCGGAGGAAGAGAAGGAAGCGGTCAGAGCGTCCCACACAAGACCCAGCCAAGACCAAACCTGAGAGGGAACCAGATGGGACTTCCTCCAATTCACCTGGAACCAGAACCAGGCGAGCTCGGAAATAAATAAATCCCTGGTGAGCTGACACACGAACTGACATGGAGCCCAAACCAGCCAGTCATCAAGGTAGGCCAGAACCCGAACACCTAACAAATGCAGACGGGCCACCATGACCCAGGTAAGGCGTGTGAACACACGAGGTGCCAGGTCAACCCGAATGTTAGACAACAAAAGCGATAACTCTGGCACCCCACAACAAAACCGAGCCAGTCCCAGAACCCCAGATAAATTGGGATGTGCAAATACGCGTCCTTGAGGTCCAGGGACACCATCCAAGCACCTGACTCCAACAGAAGCCGGACCTGGGACAGAGTGATCATCTGAAGCGAGGGACAAGAAACCCAGGGATTGAGAAGGTACAAGTCCAGAATGAACCACAGTTTCACACAGTCCAGTTTCTGAACTGGAAACTGTCGGGAAACCCATCTGAGAGACGTGATCGTTTCGACCACGACCAAGTGCACCCACTCCAAGACAACCTGACAGAGCGCAGGAGAAGAGGCCTGCCCCTGCCAGCCCCAATCCCCCTTAGAAGGATTCTAAGGGGGATTCTAAGGAGGGCCACCCAACGCTACCACAGGCCGCGAGAAACCACCCGAAAATCCTACGAATCGTGAGACCAGGCATGAGCAAACAGAGCAAGCCTCCCCCCCATTGCCCCATCAATGTGGTGAACCGCGAAAGGGCTGATGCCCCTTATGAGAACCTGACCTACCTGCTGAGCGAGCACCACGCCGACCAAGTGCAGCTGGGACCGAAGGCGGCACCAGCTCCAAAACCGGCAACTGTGGCCCACCCCAACGAGCGGAACCGCGAGCCCTGGCATGACCCCTCCGGGAAGAACCAATATGAGAACCCTGGAGAACCAACAAATCAGACATCGGGCAGCCACTGGAAGAAGCCACCAGCCTATACTGCTCGACTGCAGAGGCCGCAAACAGCAAAGGACACAAGGGTGAAAACAATCTAATAGCCAGGGCCCAAGCGGATTCCAAGGAGGAAGCGAGCACCACCTGTTGACAGGCGAGATGCGAAAAACCACGACAGCGCATCCCGCAGGATTGGTGCAAACAGCTTCAAAAGTGCAGACGACGCATGAGCAACGGAGACCAAGGCACCAGACCCAGGAATGGCCCCAAGCGCCTCTACATCCTCCACAAAGTCAATCCAAAGACAGCTCCAAGAGGGGGAAAAGAAATAAAGGACCAAAGCCAACAAGCCACGTGCGTGCAAGTCCTCAGCCACAAGCGCAGCCGACATGGAAGGAACCGGCAAATGAAGCTGAACCGCACCAACATTGCAGAAGGGCAGGAGCGAAAAGGCACTCATTAAGATGCTCAAAATTGCCCCCCTCAGGTAAACCTGGACCACAGTCAACGCCTCACACCACTGAAGCCTGCAGGTACGACAGAAGGAGTCCCAAGCATCCAGCGAGAACAAAGGGCAGTCCACAAGCCAAGACAAATCCGGAACCTCATAACGAACTTAGTATGGAGATGAAGAACCAGTCCTGAAGGAAGACGGATCCTTTATAGAGGCATATTCTGGGTTGCACAGGAGGTAAGCTGAAATGGCTGCCTGCACCTCAGTAGGCGAGGTGCGGGAAGCCAAAAACCTCCAAAAGGACAGAACCGAAGGATCTGCAGGGACACGGAACCAAACCCAGGGAGAAGTGGAACCCTAATCCAACTCGTATGCAGAGGGGGGGGGGGGAAGGAAAACACCACTTTTTGTAACAGTAAGCTCCGCTCGGCGGGTCATAAAACCCAGACGGGGTCCAACGGGGCCCAAGGCCCCCAAATCAGCTCCTCCCCAACCCCCGGGAACGTCCTCCACGTCAGGCCCTTGGGGCGAGTCGTCCTCCAAAGCCTCGGCCTCACAAGAAAAACTTGGGGAGGCTGAAATAGCAGGAAGAGAGCGAGCCCACTGGTCAGACCCCGGAGCTATGGCTGGAGGAACAGACTCGAATACCTCTGTAACCACCCAAGAAGGGGCAACCCACGAAACAGCCCGAGTCTCAGAAACCTCTAAACCCTGCCACAACCCCAAAGCCCCCAGACGCTTTGGAACCAGAAGCAGGAAGGGGGGGGGGGGGCAAATGAACCACAGCAGAGGAAGAACGAGGGGGCGTGGACTGATCCAAGGCCGACGTGACCAACACCCCCAAGTCCGGGTCCCTATAAGCAAAATGGGACAGCCTCGGGGTATCCAGGGAAGCAACCAACCTAGCGCCTTGCAACAACCTTAACCTATCCTGTAGTGTGCGAGCCACTTGCACCCGAATAATGTCATCATCAGATAGGGTGAACTGAGTCACAAACAAGCAACAAGCTCACAGGACTCCGGGTCAAATGTGTCACCGACCCAACAGGCAACACGATGGAGGCAAAAATAATGAGTGTCGCCCTGAGACAAGGGGACAGAGTAAACCTCAAACTCTCACAAAGTGCGTGCGGACTCAGGGGTCTTATCCATTGGCCCCTGAGTGCCCCAGCAGGGTTTCTCAGGGCCCCTAGACTGGGTCTGCTAAGGGTAATCTCAGGCAGGGTACTGCTAACTAGCGCCCAAGCTACCAGTCAGCACTGCTAATGCTGAGCCCCCGGGACGTGTCCACTCACAAGGGCGAAGCAGGGGGTAACACCAAACAAAAACAACCCTAATATAAAGGAGGAGGCACACCAAGGCAGACCCCCCCCCGCCACCAGGCAAAAATAAAAATAAAAGAAAAACCTTGCAAGAGGACATCGTACCCAGAGGAAAGAGAGCCAGCCACTGTTATAGGTGAAAACTGGGAAGGACAAGAAGGGGCGGACGGAACCAAAGTCAAAGTGACTCTCACCCACAAGTCCGGGTCACTAAAACCAAAACGGGCCACTCTCGGGGCATCCGGGGGAGCAACAAACCTATCGCACTGCAGCAACCTAAACCTAACATGCAATGCAGTTGCTGCCTGCACCCTCATATCATGATTAGTAGCATGGGTGAACTGGAAAACATACAAACAACAAACGTCACATGTCTCCAGGTCAGAGAAATCACCGACTCTACACGCAGCATGGTGGAGGCATAACTGGTGATTTCCCAGGATTTCCTGCGCTACCAGTGACGAAAACTACCTCCTACCCAGAGGCAAACAAGGGAAACAAAAACCCCAGTTGACTCCAAGGGCAGCCAAGTACCGAGCAGTAAAAGACACAGCGGAGGTAGATCCCAAGGTGATATGTGGAAGGTGGGCCCAAGCCCTAAGGGCAGTACTGTACTTACAAAGCACCTAGGGAAGGCGACCCTGGGCGCATGCAGCCCAAGTACTGAAGAATATTACTCCCGGCTAGCACACCACCCGTAGAGACAGACCATGCCACAAGGCACAGAAACTGAGACAAATTCAGGAGCCAGAGACACAAGACCTCGCCATTATCACATCAGCAAAGAACTGAAGGGGTGGATTGCCGGCGTGAGGGTTTGAGACTCCCCCTTCCCCCTCCTGGGGAAGGGGGGTTGGGCAGACGGTGGCGTGGCAATGTGATGACGTCATGCTCATTTGCTAATTTTTGTTTGGGGAGCACAAAAATTTTTGTCTGTCCACTCGTTCGGCTTTTAATAGCTATATTTTCACCAGAATAGGGCTTTGTTTTGGGGCGCCTACCTTTCTGAGTGCCCAACCTGGTCAATGACAGAATGCTCCCATCCACATGGGGGTTTCTATAGGCCATTGCTCCTCGTGCCACTCTAAGGGGGCCAGTTTCTGGCTCGTGGTCCCCGGTAGGTAAGAACTCCATGCACATTGACTGATTCAAGAAAGCTAATATATCCATATCAGCCTGGATAGCTCCAGGGAATCATCGAGGTTTCCCTCAGAAAGTTTCCTATATATAAAGTCAACTCTCATCATGTTGTGTCTCCATGTCAAAAGTGTTTATATAGAGGCAATACTACACTCAGTTGGGTGAGAACAATGTGACCTTCAACAGCGTACCTTCACTGAGGTGTGGACAGTCTTGACATCTGGGAAGAGTGTCTGGCACTTCTGGAGCCAATCTTCTACCTTTATGCTGCACTCATCAGCTGTGTCTATGATTGTGTCAACCTCCTGTGGGGTGTTTACTGTGTCGAGGCTTCCCAACATGGCCTGCAGCTGAGTTTTCCCTTCCTCTCCTTGTGTTGTCATATCCACCACACTGGTATCCTCCAGTTCCAAGAGCTTCATTGCTGACTTGTTCTGCTCTACCAGAGAATAGAGTCTGTCCTGGAGCTGGAGGTGGTGAGTCTTCCAGTCCCCCAGCTGCCCCCAGTACTCCCCCAGCTGGGACAGTACCTCTTCACAGCTAGTAATGAGGCTGCTGATGATGCTCTTCTGCTCCTGCACCAGGGAACGTAACTTCTTACTGATGCCTCTGGCAGGTCCTTCATAAGGTTTTGCTGGCACTACTTCCTCAGTTGTTAGCTGAATATTTTTGAGTTTCCTAACAAAAGCCTCCACAGCATAGCTAATTGGGAACTGAGTAGCAGCTGTGGCAGTGTGCTGGGCACGGCAGCTGGGGCAGGACAGCTGACCATTCTTGATAGCACTGTCAACACACTGGGGAGGCTGCCTGGAGAATGTGTGGCCACACGGCAGATTGCGAGGCCGTAGCTGATTGTCATCATAATCGTTAAAACACACTGAACATTCCTCTGGCTTGTTATCCTGTGGAAAAGAATATTTGGTTAAACTAGATGTATTTACAACAAATAAGTAATATTACAGTACTTTATTTACTAATACAAATTGCATAATATCTATATACATTCTTTGCATTAGATATTCTAGAGCAGAGTTAATATTACTTACAGATTAACATATTCACACAAGGGCCAATATTTTTTATAAATATAACCCGGAGTATGGGATAATATTTTTTGGTAACATATTGCAGCAGCAGGGCTGCCTGTAAGACGTACCCGAGAGTACAGACTAACAATACCTATCCTTACTTTCTTATGAATAATGGAAGGAAATGTATGTATATGTGATAATTGAGGAAGGGTCAAGTATTCTTAGACTAAGTTGGACAATAAGTGCTCTGTGGGTTAAATCTTTACAACACATGGGTTTTATTGAACAACTCCGGATTATTCTACACTTATTAACTATGGGAACACATGATTACGTTTCTGGATTGTTGAGATTGAGTGATACTCTTCACCAAACATAAACATGATGGATGAATTGACTCTTGGTCCCACACAAATCTGGGCTTAGTCATTATTTTACTGTACACTCTCTTGGTAATATACAAATGTAGCATGGATTTTTACAACATAAGGTCTCTACTCTTAATCACTTTACTAACGGGGACCAAGGCAGATGGAGTTTAAACCACGTGTTACAGTACTCCTTAACCTCTGCACGCCTGGTTTCGACAAAAACTTTTTAGTGCAATTTTCAAGGCCATATTTTTGTTTTTATAAATGTCCAGGTAAAGTTAATGTCAAAAAGTTTCCAAACTCAACTATTTCCATTTCAAAACACAAAGTAATGAAAACATTAAAATATAGCCTAATTAGAAAAAATAACACAATTCTCAGAGTGCCTAAAGGCGCTTTGCGCAGTGCAGTGGTTAAAGTGGGTGAATGAGCCCAAAATAACACAAGACACACAGGGTTCTACAAACACAGATTCCTAAAATTCCTATCCCTAAACTAACAGAGAAAAAAATCACTAGTACAGTTAATGCACTTATCATTACTGTAGAAGACCACACCAAGCATCGCACTGACGTCTACTAGACACTGGAGTAGGCGCCGCCTGAGTGGACAACTTGCTGCCGCTCTCCACTCTGTGTGCACTCGCTTGGTTCCAATAATGTTTCACACAAAACTCATATCCCAAAATTGGTCATTTGTATGTCTTATAGAGTTCCAGATTGTTTTCAACATTTAACACTGCTGTTTCTATATATATTTTTTCAACCAGTGAATGTCTTAAATAAGTGTTTCCTATACAATTCCATTGCTTTGGGGAGGATATATAATTATTAATAATAATAATTTTCCTTTGTAAGTCACTGTGCTCCACATGTGCAGAACTGACTATTGTACTGGCAGAAATCATAAATTCATGATTGTCCTGCCCTTCAAGAAGACCTGGACAAAATAAGTGTATGAGCACCACTTGGCAAATGGAATTTAATGTGAACAAATGCCATGTTATGGAATGTGGAATAAGAGAGCATAGACCCCACACAACCTATAAATTATATAATTACCTAAGTGTAGTTACAGGATGAGAGCTATGCTCATGATGTCCCGTCTTCCAAGCACTCTGTCATATAACGCTTTGAAATTACTGACGCTTTTGGCCTCCACCACCTTCTCACCTAACTTGTTCCAACCGTCTACCCCACTTGTTTGTGAAAGTGAATTTTCTTATTCACTTCTAAAAAAATTAATTTTCTTTGGCACCTTTGTTTAGTTTAAATCTATGACCTCTTGGTCTTGAAGTTCCAGGTCTCAGGAATTTTTGCCTATCAATTTTATCAATTCCCGTTAATATTTTGTACGTAGTGATTATATCGCCTCTTTTTCTTCCATCTTTTAGTTTTGGAATATTTAACCGCATGGCTATATACCATTTGACACCCACAGGCGCATACAAGAAAAAAAAAAAAAAATCTTTTTTCTTCCTAACCTGTTAATTTGTGTTCACTGATCATGGGAAAAATAATAAAAAAATCGTAAGTGGGATATATTGCCCGCTATACGGCGGAGAAGTCTGGCAAAAATACAGGCGCTGACGCAGCGTGTGTCCCAGACGGTCTGTTGCTTGCTAGCTGTCTGGCCGGAGTTGCCACAAAGAGATAATTACCTAATTACTTCAATGTCTCTGATTGATTTTTCGTAGTTTTTTTGCTGCAATATTATTCAATAGTGTGATATATTTATACAGTGGAACCTTGGAATGCGAGTGTCCCTGTATGCGAGTTTTTCGGAATACGAGCAGGATTTCCTCGAAAAATATGTCTCGGAACGCGAGGGTTACCTCGGGACACGAGTTTGTTGATACGCGTACAGGCCGACCCAGCACATGGTGGTTCGGCGATCGTCGCCCCTCCACCCCTCCGCCCCTCAGTTTACCGTTGTCTCACACCCAGTGACTACCCCACATCAATTCTTCTCGCGGATTTTCAGTGTTTTGTTGGATTTTTGGTGATTTGACTATACAGTTTGTTATTATATATCTCACCATGGGTCCCAAGAAAGCCAGTGGTAAGGATAAAGGCCAGAAAGCCCATGTGAGGATGACAATAGAGGAGAAACAAGAGATCATTCGGAAGCATGAGAACAGTACACGTGTTGTTGAACTTTGTAGGCAGTACAACAAAGCCACATCAACAATATGCACTATACTTAAGAAGAAAAATGAGATTATGAGTGCTAAAGTGGCAAAAGGAGTCAGAACAATAACGAAACAAAGACCACAAATACTTGAAGTGGAAAAGTTGTTATTAATTTGGATACACGACAAGGAGTTAAGGGGTGACAGTGTTTCGGAGGCCATTATTTGTGAGAAAGCCAGGGTTTGGACAGATTTGTTGTGAGGAAATCGAGCAGTGAGCCTCAACCAGGACCTAGTGGCACTCAGATAAAACGTCCCAGGGAGAGCACACCAGAAAGGTCTTCACTGCCTGATGTGATAATGGAAGGGGACTCCCCTTCCAAACAGTAACTCTGTAACAGGGGGTGGGGGAAATAGCTCTATCTTGTCCATTATTCCATCCCCCAGTTAACTATCGAGGCCGGGGAAACAGCTCTCTCTAGTCCGTTATCACGTCCCCAGTTAGTTAACTATTCTAGAGCACTCCCAGAGTTCCTAAGGCAACCTCTCTCGTTCAACACCTTGTAACCTAGGTATTTGACTACCTAGGTGCTAAGACTACAAGGCACCATAACTTGATCAGCTACCCGAAACTCTAGAGAGAACTCTAGAATACATTTCACTGCCACAAACGTATAAGAGACACGAAAGGAAAGAGAAGACTAGTGAAGTAATTAGTAAGGGTTTGGGGTGAGAGAGGTGGGAGGAGCGAGGAGGGTCATTAGCTGAAAGGGAAAGTTTGGAGAGGGGTGGAGGGAGAGGAATAGATAGGTAGAAGTAGAAGAGTAGATAGTAGAAGTAGAAGAGTAGATAGTAGAAGACAAAATGCTGCCACCATCCATTCATGATCATTACATACAAGACAAGGAATGGAACTTGTCTGTATTACAATATTCTCAAAAGATGTTATTACCATGTATCAACCCCAAACATGTACTCATTAATATCATGAACCAGTAACCACAGAGGCTTTCTCACCTCAACTCAAAAACTCGAGGGAATCAAGTTAAAAACAATTTAAATAATAAATTCAATTATATTTCACATGATAACTATCATAATTTAAGCAATTCCAATGTTCACGTTTAATATGCAAGGTGAGTCATCATCCAAGAATTTGAGAACCCTACAACTGACTGCCCCTGATCATCACACAACATATGTAAACACGACCAAGTCACCTTAATGTTCAACTCACCAAGTGTCTGCCTATAGCTGGATTGAGAGGGAAGGGGGGGGGGTCTGTAGTTGACAGAAACTGTCCCGCCCTGCCTGCCGAAAGCCTACCTGCTAAGCCGTCTTCTCTCCTCTGCTGGCTGCTTGTTACGGACCCGAGCCCAGCGTCCGAGCAGTGACGACCACGCCATCTGTGGGTCAGCTCCCAAAACCCCCTCCAAATGGACGGCGCCATCAAGTGAGGACAGGAAATACCAGCCACAAGGGCTAGTTTCCCGTCCTGATCAGCTCATAACACAGCCGCTGCTGACCTCAGGTGAGGTGGCGCTTAGACAGCAACGCCATCTATGGAGTGGATAGGTGGGCGTTTGGGTCTGAGCCGGTAAGTGATGTGCCCTAGTGTGTCCCTATTACTGATGACGTGTCTGATTACAGAGTCGACCTGGGACTGCTGAATCGGACAGTGGAAGAGTCTACCCAAGGCAGCCGTCTTGTCTCCAAGTATTTGCTGCAGCTGCTGTGAGTCGCCCCCCAGATGAACACTGTGGTGTTAGCCTGCCTGTGAAGTGGCAGTTGAGGGATTGTCATACCCGGGACTGACTGGTAGAGATGCTTAACCACTGCCCAGCAAACACAAATCATCTACACAACGTTCGCCTATCTCTTCCCATAGGTGTGGGAATGATTTGCATTGAGAATGGTGCAGGAGAGCCTTTGAGAAACTTTTACTCAAAAAATCCAAACACAAAGGTATAATTATAAATTGTTTTTCTACAATTATTTTCTTCCAAATGTAAAACAAATAGTTTTTACATGTTTAAATATAAAATTTATGGTGTTTTTTTGTAAAATTTATTAATAAATTGTGAATGATATATATTGGCTGAGTGAAACCTTTAAAATCCATTTAGTTATAATATGAACAGAAAAAAGTAGTTTTCCAAATTTTCTAAAAATCGCTCTTTTTAACACAATTTGACTCCTTATGCATTCCACTAAACACTAATATCATGTTTAAATATATAATTTATGTATTATTCCCTAAGATAATTTATATAAATTATAAAAGTTGCTGGAAAGTGGTGAGAGAGAATCTGAAAACGTTTTGTTGTCTTATATTGGCGTGTTCTTATTAACTAGAGTGAGTAAGAGTG